AAATGATATTCTTATGGTATAACAGAATTTCTGCATTTCTTATTATTCTAATTATCAAATTGAAATTGATTAAGAATCTAATAAAACAAAGAGTCATTTCAAATAAATAAAAAGTATAAAATTGGCTAATTCATAATAAATATTAAATAAGTGTAAAGTATTTTACATTGAAAAAATAGATATAATGCTTGTGTTTATTGTTTCTTTTTTTATATATACTCTACTAATAAATTTAACCTAATTATAAAAAAATTAAAAGTTGTTATCAATATTATATTATATAATTTCTTCAATTTTATGATTAAATTAATTATAAATACTATTCTGTCAAATATATAAAGTCTAGCTTAGTTTTCTGGATTCTTAATAATTAAAAATTCTTATCAAATAGAACACTTCATCTATGGATCGAATAAATAAGTTAATAATTAAAAATATTCTTAATGAATTTACTTGTAAACTAATTTAAATATCTTTTTTTGATAAAAAAGATTTTCCGAAATAATCTCAAATTAATTTCGAAAAGGAATTATTAATTTACAATTTAACAGTAGATTAAATAAATATCATATAAAAAAAATAAAAATAAAAAATATATGCTGATCCCTAAAAAAGGTTTGGAAGAATCTTCAGGAATAGGCATGGACTTCTTAAGTCTTAATAGTGTGATGAAAATCAAGCTAGTTGAAGATGAGAAAAGTCATACTTAATTACTCTTGTAGTTTACACAAAAATTTCTCACTCCTTGAACTCGAAAAAGAAACTTTACCTGGAGAATGACCTCCCTTTCCGTATCTTTGTGGAGGGAAATCTCAATTACAGAGAAAATATGAGGTACAGTACATTCTAGAATGAGAATCTCTGATTCTAGTTTAACAATTCCTAATTCAACCCTTATTATTCAAGAACTTATTTACTAAAAAAAAACAAGTTCTGGAGTGCTTCACTTACTAACTGGAGCGTACAAAAGTGATTAGAGTTATGGATGGAAGGAGTGAATTTATCCAGTTTCATCTTTTGTCGAACTATATACCTTCTGGATCACTAATTGTTCCAGAACTTATGATGAAGGTATTTAGATACTTAAAGTGCTTAATTGGCTCACTGAAGTCAAACAGTAAATTTTATTTAATATAGAGAAGTCAACCTATTTAAGATATCTCATTATTGTGATCATTAAAAAATATAGAATGATGAATTTAGATTTGGAGTTTGCAAGCTCGACTCACTCAATTCATGTAGAAGAGGAACCTGATAGAATTTTAGTTGGGAGGTTCAGATCACTCTTTTACTCAAGCAATTAGCAAAATTACATGATTTAAACTATTATGTTTGATATTGGAGAAAAAAAATTTTCGAAAATAACAAATATACTAGAGAAAATAATGGTCCGTCATTTTGATATGTTAAGATAATTTTTAATTAAAATTATATATGATAAGTTCTAGTGACTTGGGAAAAAACATTTTTTTAATTTTTCTTTTTTCTTATCCTTGTTTTCCTGTATTTAATTGCCATAATTCTTTGTAGCATCAAAATGAGTATTTAGAATTGAGTCAATTACTTTTTTATAGTATTAATAAAAAATAAATTTAAATTTTCTGTGATAAGATAATTTATAAAAACCATTTTCAATAGATTTGAAAAATTCTAAAGAAACTACATCTAAAATGGCTATTAAAATAATAATATTTTATAATTATTATTTTTTAAATGATAATTTATAAACTAAAAGGGATATACCGTTTAAAGTAAGGTATAGACTCACTTTACATTAGGATTTAATTTCTAAACATTGAATTAGCCTTTTAAAAATTGACTTCTAGTCATATCATATGACCAATACTACCCAAGTAAGTAGTTTAACCTAATATAAAAAAGTGATTGAAGAACTTCTTTCATTCCTTTTAATACTTAATTCTCCATCCACTCAAACCAAATGTACATACTATCAATTTGAGCAACTATGATACTATAGTTCAATATGCTCCTATTAAAATGAAAATCAAACTGCATTATCCGTTTCATTCATTTTAATCATTTCTCATATTAAGCCATAGTTATCCCTATTGACCATTTACTTAAATAATGTTAATAAATTAAGATTTTTTACTTCTTAATGATCTCTAATTATCCATTGTCTCCTCCTCTATCTTGAAACATTTATCTCCTTCAAAAACTTTATACCATTATTCTCTTAAGACAATTTTTTCATCTCTACCAAATTATTGTATTAAGCAATTGAAGATTTAAATACTAAACGATAAAAATGGAAATATCTATAAAAATGAGCATCTCTCTACTTATCAAAGCATCCTAAATAATTCTTCCATCCATATCTTATCATTAATTTTTCTGAATTTATACTTACTAAACGTCTGCTTTTAAGTTGTCCAATATCATCTATTAATAGAACTATTACAACTTAGATAAAATTTGGATCTAGTTCTTCTTTATCATTAATTGAATCGCTTTTGATTACTCCTTAAAAGAGTGACACTCTATCCTTACTACTTATACAAGTAATCCAAGCTCTCCAATATAGATTTATTTATTAATAAATCATGATAAGTCTAGAGAAATTAATGGTATTATATTGTAAATTTATAATAATCTACATAAACGAACTCAAAAGATTATTATTACCAAAGGGATAATTAGTTGAGTTAAATAAATTGATAACAATTATAAAACTCTTAAAAATAGTGTTTTAAGTGATAATATTTAAAAGCCTAGATTAAAAAAAAATTAAGCTTATAAATTCTGTTATTAGTAAAAATAACTTATTCTAATTCCAATTAATTTATGTTATAGAAATTCACAATTATTGCTCCTTTTAATTCATAATATTTGACTTAATAATTCCACAATTTTCAACCTATGATTAAAAAAGATTTGATTTATAATTTTTCATCGAAAGCAAATAACTCTACAGATTAAACGAAATTGGGTAAATTAATATATAGTACAATAATGTCATATTTTTACAAAATAGTTTTCCTCATTATTTTTTAAAACTTCATTTAGTATATATATTTTAAATTGAACATTATTTTATGTATTTTTATCAATAATTATCATTCTTATCCATATTTTCTAATTTATATTTCTTTAGATTATTCATCCCAAGTAATAAAATACTCTCCATCATCACTCAATTAACCAAATAATGCATTTGTATTAAATTGAATAGATTACTCAACTTTAAATTCATCTTTTTCTGTCTTTCTTATAAAATTGACATATTTATCATGTTTACTCACTAATACCTATTTATCTTCAATAAATTATTATGGAAATAATGAGCAACTATCATTACCTTAATTTACAGTAATATCTTTTGATTTAGTGAACAATTTACATTCACTATTCATCTCATAGAAATGAATCAAATTGGCATTTTAGGGTTAAAACGTGAATAGATTATTGTTGATAAAGGATAATCGAAATCCAATACAATCAATCTTTATATTTTATATAACAATCCACCTTTTACTTTATTCAGAATACTTAATTACTAATATTTTATAATCACTACCAGAAGAAATAAATTAATCTTATTAATCATTTAAACTTATTTAATAAACAGGACTAGTATGATCAGTAATCGTTTATTAACAGATCCATTCATTTTTCTTAATCCAAAACTTAATAGTATAATCATGACTACTAGATATAAAAAGATCTTCATAATTATTCAAAATTAAACAATTAATTTAATTACTATGTCCTATAATTTTTTATGAACATACCCATTAATTGTTGTTATTAATTGACCAAATTACAATAAATCCACCACCATGTCCATCTCCAGATATCAATTAATTTGATTTTTACATGAAATTTAAAGTTAATACCCATTTTTGATGTTCATTTAAGACTTGAATTTATTTCATCATTCCTTATTTAAATTCATATATTTTTATTTGATTCTAAAAACTAATCGCTACTATTGAACTATCTTTATTAATTGCAATACAACGGCAATCGTATTATTCCTTAATTGAATTATTTTAAATTAATTAATAATTAAATGGTTTAGTATTGAATTAAGAAGATGGAGATATAATTTATTATGATGATGTTTATTATGATTATATTAATGATCTTTAATTTTATTAATGTGATTCTAATTTGAATTGAACTTAATCTTTGATTTTTAATGGATTAATGGTATAAGTTCTTAAAGAATATTTGATTAATCAATTAAATGGAATTAATTATAATTTGGTAAGGATAATTCCTATTTAGTATAATTAAACATACAGATTTGAGAATCTATAGGCAATAATTAATCAATAAAATTATTGATTTTATCAAAGGATTACTAAAACAAATTATCATAAATAAAATACATCTAAATATTAATCTAATTCTTTAATATGACATTCTAATTCTCTATTTATTATTTCTTTTGTTGACATTTTATTAAATTATTAATTTAATTATTGAAATTTATTGAAGAGAATAGCCATTTAAAAATATAGATTATTTGAAGATTCAATACTCACATAAATACTAAATTATCAGTTAGTACTTCTAAAAAGCTTTCTACAAACTGCTTTTAATTTCTTAGAATCTTTTTCGATCCTAAACTTTTAGATTTTCTTATATCTTAAAATTTTATGGTTTAATCTAATAAATTATGATTTAATCTTTAGTATTCAGAAGAAGCAGACATCGATTACTTGTTACAGTTTAAATTTTTTATATTAGACCTTTAAGATTTTAATTAAAATTAACTTTTAGACAGGATGATTATCAAGCCTCATCATGTAGGTGTAAACGGAGGGGAATATAGAAATATTTAATATCATTTTTTCAAAAATTTAGACAATATCAGAAAATATTAAGATCTACAATCAAATAATGATCTAATAACCTGTTAGAGTTTGTTTTTTTTTCTTATAGTATTGAATTAGTATTTTTAGTTTTGTGATCTATTTGAATTGATATTAAAAATTCCTTTGTAAATTAAACTATCCAAATAAATAAAAAGGCTTTTGATTAAAGGTAAGCCTATTTAAATCATTAAAGATTAAATGATTTTTTGTATTAATCAATTTTATTAACAAAAAAAATTTAATTGTTCTTCTATCAAATAATTATTTGGATTTGGAAGCCACAACACAATATAAATAATTGAAAATTAAATCTGTTTACATTTAATCAAGCTAAATCTAAATTGAAAATAAGAAGTGTTAAAAATAAAATAAATAAAATAGAGAGAAAATCTTGCCAAAAATAATAAAAATTATATTAGTTTCAAATACAGTAATTAAGCAATTTACAATAGATTAAAGTGTTTATAAAACTTATCAAATATGATTGAATTAAACAAAGTTTTATTAATCCTCTATTCAAGTATTATCTTAATTTATTATATTGAAAATGTAATTGAAGAACAATTTGCTATTATTAATTTTAATTTTTAACACTTTAAAAATAGAATATAATTTCTTTTAAATTGAAATCAATTGATTTTCTCTTTACTTAAGTCTAAACAATTTTTAAATAGTACAATGTATTTAAATAATTTTATCATTAAAATTGAAGGACTTTGATAATGGAATCAATTAGATTGTATGAAAGATAATTAGATAGGTAGAAACATAATAAAACTAATTTCTATTTCAATGCTACTTACTTTGTTATTAATAAAATATTTAGAATTTAATATAGTATATAATTTTATACTAAAATACAAAATAACATAAATAATTTTATCAATACTTAAATCTCACAAACTATTAAGACAATTAAAAATTTAATTCTACAAACCATTACTATTGAAATATTACATTCAGCTTTTTAATATCAGCAAGAGACAATACTAATCAAATTATTGCTTCTATAATATCAAATACATAATTAATTGAAATTTTGAAAAAAAATATTTATAAAATTGTGTAGAAAAGTTAAATAAAGATCATTTTAACTTATAAAACATAATTCCTCAAAAATTTTAATCATAAAATTCTGAAATTTAATATACAAGAGACTTTCTCCTAACAGAGGAAAGAGATTAAATTTACCTATCTTATATTATAATTAACATCTTTAAGATTTATAAAATTCTAATCTTGAATTTAATATAAAAAATTTAGTTCTTTCAAATTGCTTAATTATTAAATTCATAATCAAATAAAATAACAAATAATTCAAGGCCTAATTAATTTCAAAAACTTTTAAAGGACTACTGAGCAATACATACAAATTATAATCAGTAATCAATATATTTTTTCATATTCGTTAAGCGGAAATTTGTATAGTTTAAAAGGGAATACCCAAATATGTGAAAACCATTTGAAACTGCAGCACTAATCTAATTTCCAAAAAAATTGAGATTTAATTTTATTCTTATTCATATAAAAACGAAAAGCGTTTTATAGTCAAAATTACTATAACAGCTCCAAACATCATTTTTTAATTATAAGCATTTACGAATTTTGAAATATAGGTTTATTTACTAACAAAAAATTAGAGAAACAAAGTTAAATTTTAATTTTCTATTCTTTTTCATAGTCATAAATGTTAATTTATTCTCAATTTGTTTCTTGGATTGATTCCATTATACTTTTGAAGAAACAGGTATGCTTTTTGATTTTAGATTTATAATCTTAATTTATATTTAATATTATTTAAAATTAAAATGAGGACAAAAAGAAAAAATCTGTATTCTCTATTCTTTCTTTAATATCAAATAAAAATATTAGATAATATTCCTTAATTATTAAGCTTAATAGATTAAATTATTATTAAATTTTTGCATTGTTTTATAAAAAGCCTTTAAGGTCTTTTTGTCAATATTTTTGTATTTTAAGATTTATTATTATTTAATATCAATTTTTCATTTCAATTTAGTAGATTATTAATTGATAATCATTTGCTTATTATTTTTAAATTATTTCATCAAATGAATAAAATAAACCAATTAATCAAAATTCATTATTGTTCCATTAATTATAAAATATTTATTATAAATTCAATTATCTCTTGCTTTAATATTTACTCTTTGTCATCCTATTAATTCTAATAAAGACAAAATTTCAGTTTTTCTTTGTCTCTTCAAATATCGTTTATACATTTTATATAATCTTGTCTTACCTTACTTTATCATTCCTATTCCAAATCTATCTGATTGAATTTACACCTTGGCTAACTTATATATATTTATTTATTCTTAAATTCATCTAATCTCTAAAGTAAATACGTTAAATGCAATTAAATCAAAGAACGAAAGTATTTATATTGTTATTTAAAGCTAAAGCTCAAAGGAATCTCATATCTTTTCTAAGATATTAAGATTTGAAAATCAACTATACATCTTTTTCATTCCATTAAAACTATTTCATTTATTTTTAGAAATTATTATTATTAAAAAATAGCTTCTATTAATTATTTGATTAAATCCTCTATCTGGTATGGTAGTTTCATCCGATAATATTAATATATTGGAGAAATATTAAATCTCTTCATTATAAGAATAATTAAACACTTACAAATTAAAAGGTATTGAATTCAAATCTTGAAATTATAATCTGGATTCCAAATTTTAGATTTATACTAATAAATTATAAAACATAAAAAAAATTGATATTCTTCTAAAAATAGTTTTTATAATCATTTACTTTCTCAAGAATGAGAAAGTTAAGGTAATAAATTTATTTGTTGTTTAAATCATTTAATTAATTCATATTTAATATATAATAATGATATATATTTGAATATTATAATTATCATTCTTGACTATATTTTCTAATTTATATTTCTTTTGATGAGTCATTCCAAGTAATTAAATAGTCTCCCTCATCACTTAATGATCCAAATATGCATTTTGTATTAAACTGAATGGATTACTAAATTTCAAATTGACCATTTTCTGTCTTTCTTATAAAATTAACATATTTATCATGTCTATTCACTAATAATTATTTTGAATTTATATATTATTATGGAAAGAATATATAATGATCAATACCTTGATTAACAATAACATCTTTAGTTTTAGTGAATGATTTACTTACACTATTCATTTCATAGACTTACATCATATTGCCTTCTTTTGGTTAAAATGTAAATAAATTATCATCTATAAAACATAATCGATATCCAAAACAATCAACATTAATTTTTTAAATTACAATCCAATTTTTATTCTATTCTGAATATTCAATTAGTAATATAAATTTATCTATTCCGCAAGATATAACTTTATTTTGTGAGTCATTTAAACTTAATGAAATAACTTGATTTTGATGATCTGTGATTGTTTATTAACAGATCCATTCATTTTTCTTAATCCAAAATTTAATAGTTTTATCATCACTGCCTGATATAAACAAATCTTCATTATTATTTACAATTAAACAATTAATTTAAGAATTATGTTCTTGAATTTTTTATGAACAAACCCATTAATTATTGTCATTAATTGACCAAATTATAATAGTATTACGCTACTATCCAGATATCAATTAATTTGATTTTTTCATAAAATTTAATGTAAACACAATCCCTTTATCTTAATCTAATACTTGTATTTATTATTAAATTCCTTATTTAAAT